AGTGAGGGGCACCGGCAGGGCTGGGGGGGTGGGGAACCCAGGGCTGGGCTAGCAGGGGGCAGCGGGTCGGGAGTGAGGGGCACCGGCAGGGCTGGGGGGGTGGGGAACCCAGGGCTGGTCTAGCAGGGGGCAGCGGGTCGGGAGTGAGGGGCACCACTGGTGCTGTGTCTGGCCCGGACGCCTGGGTCCAATCTCCCTCCCCCTTTCACTGTCCCACCCCCCAGGGCAGGAACCTGATCCCGGCGGCCGCCGGGGGGGCCCGTCTGAACTACACGGTGCTGATTGGGGGGGAGCCCTGCGCCCTGACGGTGTCAGAGACCCAGCTGCTCTGTGACTCGCCCAGCCAGACAGGGGAGCAGCCAGTCACGGTGCGTTGCTGAGGGGAAGGGGGGGCACGGCCAGGGGCTCCCCCAGGGGGTGGGGCTGGGGGCACGTGTCCTGTGGGGGGGCCAGCCCCTTGCTCTGTGGTGTGGGGGCGGGACACAGGGTGGATCAGAGATCACAGGGGCTGGGGGGTGAGCAGTCCCTCTTGGGGAGCTCTGGGGGGAGGTTACATATGTGGGGTGCGTTCGGGGGGGACAGACTGAGTGGGGGGGCTGGGAGGGGGTTGTCTCATCAGATCCAGGGGGGAATTTGTACCCCCCCCATTGCAGATCTGGGGGGGTTGCCAAAATGTGGGGGGAGGTGCCCCCGATTCTCCCGTCCCACGTTCTGGGGGGGTTCGTTCCTGGGAAGTTGGGGGGTGCCCCCCTGTCTAACCTCCGTTCCCTCCCCTCATTCCAGATCCTGGTGGGGGGCCTGTCCTTCTCTCCCGGCTCCCTGCACATCTACCCCGAGGCGGCCCTGCCCCTGGGGGCGCTGGTGGGGCTGGGCGTGGGGGGGTCCCTGTTGCTCCTGGCCATTATCGGGGTGCTGGTCGCCTACAAGCGCAAGACCCGTGACGCCGACCGGACCCTCAAGCGGCTGCAACTGCAGATGGACAATCTGGAGTCACGGGTTGCGCTGGAGTGCAAGGAGGGTGAGGCTGGGGGGCAGGGAGGGGGGCAGGAGCACAGAGAGGGGGTTGGACTGGGGGGTTGAAGCGCAGGGAGAGTGGGGG